CCAGGCGAGGCGCCCCCTCCGTGCCCATCACACGGTTCCTTTAAGCCCCGCGCCAGGGGCGGTCCGCACTACATCGGCGGGGAAGGGGCGGCGCGCGGCAGGGTGGCGCTGTCTGGTGTGGGGATGAGCGCGTGAATGTGAAACATGGCTGCCCGGCTGTCAGCGGGGCCGCGTCCCCGGGAGGGATGCTGAGGAGCCCGTGCAGGGGTGCCACACACGTGCGTGTGCTCGTGAGGAGGAAGCACAAGGTCACACTCACGCCTTCCTCCTCCTCTATGGGAGCCGGGGGCGAGGAGGGAGGCGGGCTGCATGCACATGGCCTTGTGTGAAGACTGGGCTCCTAGTCCCCGATGGAGCCAGGCAGTGTCCTGAGGCGCTGCTTCTCCTCCTCCCCCTCCTCGCTGCTGCTGCTGGAGGCCAACAGCCGGCTGCTCCTCCACGGCTTCCTCTACCTGGTGCTGTACACCCAGGTGTCCCAGGGCAAGCCTGCATTGTGCTTCTTTCATTTATTGAGAAGTGAGTAGAAGCGAAAGTGTTTATTTTAGTCAAGTGTTTGGTATTATTTCATTGTTGCTTTTATATTGTTTTTGTTTTGAGTTTTAAACCACATTTCCAGACCCATTTAATTGTCACTTCCTGCAACTTCATTGGTGTCAAAGGTCACGTGACATCACTTCCTGATGTGATACCACTTCCTGTGAGGTCTTTGAATATGGCTCGCCGGCCTACTGAGTGATAAAAAGCTCATGATCTGGCCCCAGATTCAAAAAGGTTGGACACCCTTGCTTTAAGTCAAGCTTCTCCCTTGGCCTAGAGTGCCTCCCCGCCCTGGGTGCCTTATGGGCTCCTGGAGCCCCCATTAGCCATATAAGCCACATGTGAAGCAGCCACAGCATCTCTGGGTTGCTCTTCCATGCAGGAACTCCTTCCCCTGGCTGCTGCCAGAGAACTAACTCCTGTCAGAGTCAGCTCTGGGGCTTATATGTGCCCTGGGCTCTGCCTCCTTCCAGTAAGCTGACTGGGTGCAGGTGCAGGCTAGCTCACCATTAGCCTGCTGCCATGGCACCTGCAACTGTGGAGCTCTGCCTGGCTCCTCTGGCTCTCTAGCTAGGCAGTTTCTGCTCTCAAAGGAGCAGGCACCCCTTAATGCCCTGCAACAGGAAGTTAAGGTTAGATATTAAGAAGAACTTTCTCACTAGGAGGGTAGTAAAGCACTGAAACGGGTTACCCAGAGAGGTGGTGGACTCTCCATCCTTGGAGGTTTGTAAGACCTGGGCAGACAAAGTCTTGGCTGGGATGATTTAATTGGGGATGGTCCTGCCTTGAGCAGGGGGTTGGACTAGATGACCTCCTGAGGTCCCTTCTTACCCTAATTTCCTATGATTCTATGATTATAGCGCGCACACATTTTTAAACTAGAAACGTTGCCACAAAAACATATTTTGTTCCTATGGATTTGAAGGTGGTATAGGGGTTTATGGTGAATAAATAAGGGTTTTTTCAGCTTTCCTTCTCTGCTGAACTCTGAGAGCAAAAACTGGCAGAGGAAGCAATGAAAACATCTGGGCAGGCAGATCTCAGCTATACAGTAGATGCAGCAGCCTCTATCATTTCAGCAACCCAGGACAGAGAGAAGCACTAGCTTACCCCTGTGAGCAAATTAGTTCTGTTGACCTATTCGGCCTTCCCAGTCTGACATCATTTGTAGCCCTAGAGATTAATCCTTCCCTCCTATTTTAAGCAGCAAATTATGACGTGGGTGATATAACCATAATGAGAGAAGGATCCTAACTTTTTTTTAAACATGCAAGAGAACATAGATTGTTAGCTGAAAATAGATTATTTCAGTAACCTTTGCTTGCCCAGGAAAATGGAGAGGGAGGGAAGGAGGAAGGAATAAACTAGCATGCTGTATTTACTAAATCTAAATAACATTGATTTTCTGTTGTTTACCCACTTTGTGTCTCATCATTATGTTTTAAAGAGGGTTTATAAATATACCCAGGCATCAGTGCCAACCCCTGCCGCCGCGCCCCCCCCC